AAAACAGCCATGTGTGTCTTTAGCCTAATAGTAATTTTGTGTAAATAGGTAACTCTACTTCAACTATATTTTCAAATTATTGTTTAATTATTAATATTTTGATATGTACTTATAGGATTGATTACCCAGAGTCAGAGCATGAAGATATATGGGATGTGACTTGTTAAGTGCCTGTCATAATCAAAATTATTGTTTGATACTTATTGCAGTTTTCGTGACATACTCTATTACCAACTGTAAACTAACCAACAGCCTTATTTTTATTTAATACCTACAGGGATCCAAATTTCCAATATACCTAATATTTTTGAAAATACTAAATTATACAAACAAGCCAATAAAAAAATAGCTTGTTTTTTTCGTAGGAAATCTAGGTGGATTTTTATTAGAAGCAGATGAATATGACTGACTGTTAGATGAATGGGATTGAATGCTTGACACGGTATACTCCAAAATTTTCCTGAGTACGACCCTGCCACAGGTGTACTGTAGGCTGTAGGTACTGATAACGGATCGATGTTTGTCCTCGTGGGTTAAATAAATAATTTCGTTTGTATATAATAATGAAAAAAGATTGTTTAATGGATAAAATATATCTAATACTGTAACTTGATCCCTCAGTTATAAATTAAATTTACTTAATTCCAAATAAAACTTAAGTTTTTAGCATGGAGGTATAATACTAATGGAGATGCCATGAGGCAATTGTTTTGCATATGATACATTTTATTAAAAATGACCCCACTGGGAGTGGCTTAAATGGTTGACTAAGCAGGGTCGTATTCAAATATAATTAAAGTCCGTATGCAGAATTACAACTTTTAAATGACTTACTTACCTAAGATTTGTTTCAACATGATCGATTCGAAATTAATTTGATGACATTGCGCAATTATGACTTCTACACTATTTACTATTATTTATTAACCGTTTTCCGGCCAAGCCAATGCCAAGACCATAAAAGAGATTAATATTATTATATTGTTCTGTCTTCGCCGAAACCGTTCGATATATGACCTGTGTGATCGAAAATCAACGTTCGAATAACACTGTGCATCAGATTTGTTAATCTCTTTGTGCTTTAAAACTAAAACCCGAACTAGGAGTTTTCGTTCAAGGACTCTCTTGTCTTGATCAAAGCTGCCAATGTCAAAATCTGACAATGAGGACAATTATGACATCAAATTACCAAACCAAAAACCAAACCACTACGTGAATTGTGAATAAATATATTTCAGTAAAAATATAGCCGAGTTTGTAGAAAGGACAATTAATTACTTTTAAATGTAAAACATGTAGGTCTTTCTGCTGCAGATGACATACATTAAAAATATGACCCGATACAGTTAAAAGTTTAAAAAGACCAAAAATTCAGCTAGGTATGACTTTATGGTTAAAAGTAGATGGAAAAAACCATGATCAAAACTACTCTGTCAAAACCAATCGGAACTAAAAAGACTCAGATAATAGTTGTTGGTTTTATTTATGTTTGAAATAATTAATTATACAGTGAGCATCATAAGTCTAACTCGTTACTGGAGTCTTGTTAGGAAAATCGCCGAGACACGTCGATTTTTGATTTCTACAATGTACTTTTTTGTATGAATAGTTTACCCTTAATTTCATCCCTTACTGGAGGGGAGCAACCCTTTCGAAAAACTTAAATGGCATGGGGTGGTGAGTGATAGCTCATTTGAAAGGGGGTTTTATCCTCCATTCAACCGTGTAAAAAATTTTTAAATTTGCTTCATTAATTCTCGACTAATTATTGTTTCAGAATAATGGAAATTAACGTAGCGCACTCATCCTTAGAATTAAAATTCGGCCCTGCATGATATCGGTTTTGGTTCAGCCGTGAAGTAGGACTTTTTACCATTAGATAAGGTCACTTTTAGTTTAAATGCTTTCCTATTTGTGATGTTTTGTCATTTTTAAACATTAATAGATCAACACGTAATGAAGAAAATTTAAAAAATTTTTGCACGATTGAATAGAGAATAAAACCCCTTTTCAAATGAGCTATCACTCACCACCCCATGTCTTTTAAATTTTTCGAAAGGGTTGCTCCCCTCCAGTAAGGGATGAAATTAAGGGTAAACTATTCATACAAAAATGTACATTGTAGAAATCAAAAATCGACGTGTCTCGGCGATTTTCCTAACAAGACTCCAGTAACGAGTTAGTTAGACTTATGATGACTTATGATGCTCACTGTATAGGGTAGGTACATATATTACTAAAATTGCAAGCAAGTACTTACTAAAGATTTTTATAATTGGTACCTATGTATAATAAACAATAATCTCACAGATGCACAGCATACAACTATACAAATGGAATTATAGAGATAATTTATTTTCAAAATAGGCATTCAGTTGCGATTTGTGATTATAAAAAGAAAACTTTAACCACTTTTTCTGATCAGTAATGTTAGTGTTAATTTAGGGTGAGATTACAGAACGTCTGCAACTTTGCAGATCTGCAACTTTGCAAATCTGCAAATATGGCGGACTTCTATTCCAAAAAATATCTGCAAATTCGCAATATTTATTGTGGTTTATTACCCCCAACAACACTAAACCCAAATTTGGAATACGAAAACTTGATTCTTGCATGTGTAAGTCAGTCATATTTGCAGATCTGCAAAGTTGCAGACGTTCTGTAATCTCACCCTTAATCTGTAGGGCATTGAAAGCCTCACTTGTGAATCCAGGCTCACCTTTTATACTTTGATACCATCGACTGATTGTACGGACATGTGGTAAGCAAGTGTCAAATGTTCTTCTTACATAATTATAAGCAGCAGGTGAGTAATAGTGGAGAGTTAAGGAAAACACTTTTAGGCTCTTCTTAATACTTCTTAGGCAATGGTAGATTAGACTTTTTTTTAATTGCCTGCTACATATCTCGATGGGGCCCCCAAGTTTTGACATTATATCTAACTCATATTCCTGTATCAAACGTTTTTTACTTAAATCATTTAATATATTTTTTAAGTTGGCAATTTTATTCACTTTTCGAGAAGGTTGTCGTCTTAGCAATTTTAATTTTTGCTTTCTTTTTGCACTTGTTGCCCGGACAGAGGAGAGTGTATGTAATATTTTTTGTTTCTTTGGCGTCAGCGGTTCTTCATATGGAATATTTAGAGAAGAAGTAGAGGGTACAGGCAATTCGATCTGACTGGTTTGATTTGCTGGTTTAATAAGAATATTTGATAGGATCCTGATTTTTGGAGGAGGAGGTGTAGGTATGGATGGGTTAGTCTGGAACAAGATTTGGTATGTTATAAAGCCTTAAATATAGATCCATGATACAAAAACTACTAGTTTAAGTTCCAAAACTACTAATTTTTATATATCATTAACTTCGTAATATGTTTTAAATTATATTTATTGTGTATTATGAACAAAGTCGGCAGGTTTTTAAATTAAGGAACATCAATTTAATGTTTATTCATTTAATATTAATAATAATTGTAATGTGGTACATGAGCGGGCATATTATTTTATATCATGAGGATGAGGAGGTACATAGCAGTGAGTGATGGCCACAAATCTAATTAAATAATAACAATACATCACCAGTATTTATTATTATACAGTATAATTATCAATTATCATTATCAAAACGGTATAATAATAGGAAATTAGGATCTAATAAAAACTGCTTTTAAATACTTGAAATTTTATTCTAAATTATGTGTTACTTAAAAAGTTAGTCATTTAAGTGTAATTATAAGTTGGTTTTTAAGTTTAATTATAAGTTGGTTTTTAAGTTTAATTATAGTTGGTTTTTAAGTTTAATTATAGTTATCTAAGTTTTAATATAGTTATTTGTCTTTATTATAAAGTTAATCAAGCCAATGTTCTTTATTAAGTTAGTTATTTAAGTTTTATTGTAAATAAAGTGTATACTAACTAAACATTCATTTATTGTCGGAACAGCATTCTTCTTCAATCTGACCCTAAACTCACTCTTATCAAAAAATTCTTCCTTGAAGTGAATAGAGCACAACATGCTATTCGGTTTAGGCTCAAATTGGTCTTTTCCCACAAATTTAGACCAAAATTTGAGATATTGTGGGTCTTTTGGAAACCTATAATAAAAAAAAGTTAAGCATTCTAAAAAAAATTCTAAGTACACTCCTTATACTTACTTATGAAAACTTAAATTAGATATTTTCTTACGCTCTTTCACTGAAGAGTTTTTACAATTAATTTTGGCACACTTAGTCATGATTTTTATACAAATTAATTAAAAAAAAAACACTTATTAAGATAGAAATAACGTCGAAATATTTAAATTTGAACAAAGTTCTTACAGCTCTTTGACAACTATGACATGATCACTAAGAGAGGGGGAAGGGGTGTCGTTTTTTTTGGCATGTCATCTCCATAGTATTCAACCTCATTGGTTTTTACTAGTTGGTTTTAGACATGGTTTTAGACACTGAGATGTAAACAACATGTAGCGTGTCATGTTCATGACCGGACTCGTAAATAATAAATGATTTATTATTATTAAATTACACTATATATCAACATTTTGTCAAATTCTGACTAAAGGGTATTTTACATTTAAAACGTGCCTACTCCTATATTTTTGTAAACACAAATTCAATACTGATGCCCCATAGACAGGGAAAAAATTTAAAACGAATAAAAAACTGTATAATAAAAAATGGTCTCAAATTGAGAAACCTTGAACTTTGTAGACTTATACATCCTGGATGCGTCATATAATCTCCTAAATATATACAAATTGATATCAAAATATGATACTCAAGAATTGTTCAAACACTTAACCCCAATTAAATGATTATTTTTAATTTTGGTTTATTTTTAACATCATTCACTATAGATTTTGGGTAAGATATTCAAATTGACATGTGTCAACCATGAAAGATTGGACTGTTCCAAATAATTTAATATTATTTAAATTGTTTTACTAAACATATAAATACTGAAACCAAACTGATAAAAATTGTTTCTGGATACCACCATGAATACTATAAGTTTGTGTTTCCTACTTTTTATCGTAGCTGTTTCTACAGCTTCACCGGTTTTAAATTCTAGTAAGTACATAATATATAAATACATATTTTAAATGTTATTCAGACTACAAAAAAATATCTAAAATTTATATTAATTAACTCAACATTTTCTCATTTGAATTCAAAAATTTCCCTTTTCTTATTTGTCTCTAGTTACTTTATTTTCTTGCTTTTTAAAATCCTTCTCTACATCTTTTGGGTAAATGTAATAAAGGTTTAGTGATATTACTTAAGTCACTATTAGTGTTTATGAGAGGTAAGAAGATAGAGAAAATCTAGAGCTTTGTCTCATACCCTTTCATAGGATACTTCCAAGACCAACTTCCGAATGTTTAAGATAACGTTGAACAGACTGGAATTAATTTATTGCAATTGTTTTAATATCTTTAAGTAATTTAGACATTACAAGCAGCCTGTAATTGAGGTTTGCTGGTATAATAAATTAATAATACATAATTGTGTTGTTCTGATTTAAATCTTTTATGGCCAACAAAATTGAAATAATTATTAGGCAACGTTATCTTCTATTAATTTTCTCAATTTTTCCCATACAATTTGAAACCATTTTAACAATTATGAAATTTTCCCTTTTTCTTAAAAAAAACTGCAACCTTTTCTATATAATTTAGTTCATATTTGGTCATAAATTATACCACATATTCTGGGGTCAAAAATAGATGGATTTGTTTTGCCTTGACATTAAGAGGATCAATTCATATTAAACATTTATTTTAATTAAAATTTAACTAACAAATAAATCAAATATCAGAAAAATTTTCTTTAAATTCAATACTAACAAATTTGATTTCCTTTAATCACCTCCAATCACTCGAATCACACTTGGGGAAACTTGTTCCACACTGTGGTGAACGCACCTCTTCTCTTGACATTTGACCGGTCAACGTCTTTAAGTGTCGCTTGTCACCACTGCCACATGGAAACAGTTGGTTAAACAACAATTAGGCATTCCAAACAAATGAATTGCCCAGTGGGCAGGTTTGGTAGATCTGACGGTTGCGACATACGATGTATTCTATCTACAATACGTAAAATCATGAATAATGGATTACATTTAAATATTTTATATCGAACACTATAAAAATATCAATTAAAAAAACTGCTTGTACATTTTTTTAAAAACTGGCAGGATTGGCGACTGATATTTCGAATAAAAATAGCGTCCAAGATGCAAGACTATGTCGCTACCCCCTTAGATATACGAGACCTTCCCACTGGCAGGTAATTGTTTGACAGGTCGTTGGAATGCCTAATGGCATTCCAAACAAATGAATTACCAGTGGGCAGGTTTGGTATATCTAAGGGTGGCGACACATGGTGTATTCTATCTACTTTACGTAAAATCATGAATAATGGATTACATTTAAATATTTTATGTCAAACACAATAAAAATAATATTTAAAAAACCCACCTATACATTTCTTCATAAATTGGCAGGCTTGGCGAGTACTACTTCGAATAAAAGTAGCGTCCAAGTTGCAAGACTATGTCGCTACCCCCTTAAATGCACAAGAATTTCCCACTGGCACCTATTGTTTGACAGGTCGTTGGAATGCCTAATAATAAAAATCTGATGTGTCCAACACATGACTTTCCTATCTAGTTATTATAGGCTTGTTTAGAGGATAAACTAAATATATACATTGTCCACATACATCTACCTCGAAACATTTTTCTATAGATATTCATTGAAAACGAAAGTACTGAAAAATTTAAATTTAGCACTATGTGTGTGTGTGAATTCGAGAACTATGGCTGCGGAATCTGAATCCATTTGCCAAACTAATTTATAAATTTTTTTTTTCCTTAATTGATTTGATGTCGGGAAAATGCAATTTTACAATTTTTGTTTTATGTTTATTTAAATTGATTATGTAGTCTTTTTTATGAATTTTTTTTTGTTTGTTTTTTCTTTTTTCTTTTTGTTTGTTTTTTTTCTTTTTTTTTGTTTGTTTTTTTTTTTTTTTTTTTTGTTTGTTTTTTTTTGTTTTTTTTTTTTGGAATATCACATGGACACAATTACGCTTATGGGTCTATCTAAGCGATTTAGACTAACAAGAGGACCCGGAGAGGTAGGATCACAATTAAGGAGTTTTAACAGAGGAAGTGAACTTATTCTATTTTTTTTTTAAATTTAATTTTAATGTTACAGATATGTTAAAAAGTATCTCATAGTATCTTATTTCTTTTGATTGTAACAGTTGGTGTAGATTATATGGTTTTGTAATATTTAAGTGTTGATAAAGGCTATTATTTAATTGCATAACTTGTACTTGTATTGCTCGACAATTTAGAATAATGTGTTCTGCTGTACCTATATCCCCACAATGTCAATACGGATTATCTGATAAATTTATTTTGTGCAAATGAACAGGAGTTAGTGCGTGATTATATCTTAGTCTGTTTATTACAGATATGAGATGCTTTTTTTTGCATTTACATTATTAATCCAAGGTTTGGGAGGTATATCAGTTTGGATGGTTTTAAAATATAACCCTTTGTTTGAACGATGGTATTCTTGTTTCCAATTTTCCACAGCTCGCATAATTTCCTAGATCTTCTACGGTGCATGGGTAATGATTGGAACATGATGTTAAAAGGGTGCCATTTTTAGCGATTTGATATACCTTCTCATTGTTAATCAACCCACAGTGGGACCTAATCCACGCTAAACTCACCAATATATTTTTTTGTTTTAATTCCTGTATTATAGAAAGTATTTCGATGGAAATATAATTATTCTGACATTTTCTGTTTTTTAGCTTTTCCAATGCGCTTTTACTGTCGGAGAAAATTACGTAGTGTTGATTTATTTTTTGTGAGTCTTTTATATACTTCAAAGCTTCTAATATTGCAATTGATTCTGCCGAGAATATGGAAAATTTATAATTTAATTTTTCAACCTTTTCATATTTTGTTTCTGGTACCCATATAGCTGCAGCCACTCCGTTAACTGTTTTAGAAGCGTCAGTAAATATTTGAAAATTGGATGGGAATAACCTGTCGACATCGAATTTGAATGTTATGTTCCGTAAGGAGAGCATCAATTCTCTGTAATCCCGAAGAATTATAATTTGAATTGGATCTTGATTCCATAAATCTGTTGCGTAGCATGGAAGTATGTCAGATTTGTGAAGTTCTGGGAAAGTATTATTTATAGTGAAATATGCCTCGACTAGCGCTGGTGATTTTTTGTTTTTCCAGTAATCATTTGTCAGGTCCGAAATAAAGAGTTGATGTGTGCTATCTATTAGTCTACTATTTTTGGCTTGTAGTTTTAGTAGAAATTTGTGGCTAAGCACTTGCCGTCTTAGTGATAAAGGCATTTCGGACGCTTCCACATACATATTCGATATTGGGGTACTTCTCAGCGCCCCTAAAGCGAGTCTTAAACATTTGTTGGCTAATATATCAATTTTGTGCAAATGAATATTGGCTGCTTGATGGTAAAAAATGGATCCATAGTCTAATATCGAACGAATAAAGGATCTATATAGTAATATTGCGATATTTGCATCAGCTCCCCAAGACATATGACACACCGCTCTCATGATATTGAGTCCTTTTTCAGTCTTTGTCACTATATGCTGTATATAATCCCTCCAAAGAAGCTTCCTATCAATTATAATTACCAGATATTTTGTTTTGGGTTTTACTGAAAATTCGGTTTTGTAAGGTCATTTTATCTGGAATATTGTGTTTTTTTGAGAATATGTATATTTCACTTTTATTTTCGGAAATCGTGAGTCCCTTATTAAAACACCATTTTTTGATATCTCCATATATATATTGTTTAAATGTTGTCTTCCTGTATGAATTTCGCACATGTCCTTATATATGCAAATATCGTCTGAAAATTGTAAGATTTTTGTTTTACTATGTTTTGCTGTTCAACAAATTTCTTCAATGTCTGTTGTGTAGATTAAATATAGGGTGGGTGCTAAAATACTACCTTGTGGTAATCCTAAGGAGGTCGTCCTAGGTCCTACTACTTCATTATTTATTCTTATATAAACTATTCTGTTGGTGTAGAGTGTAATCACTTTTTTGCACATTTCTGTAGGTAGACCTATCTGCATCATTTGTTTGTAAAGAATATCTAACTTTACATTATCATAAGCGCCTTCTATATCCAAAAATAAAGCGACTGTGGATTTTTTGTTGGAGAATGAATTATTGATATCGTTTATTAGGTGTCCTACATTTTCTATAGTAGAGTGTCCTTTTCGAAAGCCGAATTAACTTTTTGGTACGCAAGATGCTAATGCGATTCATCTATATGATTCCGGTAAAGTAGGGTCTTTGTTCGGTTTAAGGATAGGAACTACTAGATACTCCTTCCAACTAGAAGGAAACTCTGATTTATCCCATATGTCGTTTAAAATGCGCAGTAAGATCGCCTTAGCATGCTGTGACAAATTTGTTAACATAATATAATGTATTTCATCTCTCCCCGGTGCACTGTTTTTTTTATTTTAAGGCTATTTTCTAATTCCAATGGCGTAAATTTTCGTAAAAGTGGATGAAATGGTAATGGTTCATTTTCTTCAATTTGGGTATTAGCCCATGGTGGTGCTACCTTGATTAGAAACTGTAGTACCCAATCGTCATTGCTCAATTTCATTTGAGGAATTCTGTAAATGTTTTTTTAATTTTTTGACTTTCTCCCAAACTTTTTTTATTGGCGTAGATCTATTTAGGTTTGTACAGAATAAGTGCCAAGAAGCCCTTTTACTTTTTAAAATGGTTTTTTTAACAATAGCTGCTGCTTTGTTAAAGTTAATATAGTTTGTATTGTTAGCGAAAAGGCTTCTTTCTTCTTTTTTATTGCAGAATCACATTCTGCATTCCATCAGGATTTACAAAATTTTGGGTTGGATATATTTTTCCTTTCTGGTATAGATAACCTAGCAGTATCATTTATGATTTGAATAAAGCTTTCATATGCTAATTCTTCTGTGCTATTAGTAATATCGTGCACCCGGAAGAAGAGGGTGACATC